TTTTATTTTTCCTGTATTTTTTTGTTTTTTTTTTTTATAGTACTTCAATAAATTTTCATTACGCGCTACTAGTTGCCTATCTTTGTTCCGTCCATGATACAAATATTATAAAAGATAACAAAACTAGATTAAATATTATGCAAAATACGATTGATCGTGTAGAAATTAAGTATAATATAAATAAGAATAATTGATTTTTAGTAGAAAAAAATAATAAACTATGCAATTTATACGAGAAAGGTCCGATTTAAAATACTAAAAATAGATAAATAATTTTACACGTATACAGAGAAATGTTAACCAGGGAATACTACTGGAAATTTACTCATTTATAAATCATTAACTAACGTTATTAAGCAAAAAAATATATCTTATACAAGTTAAATTCTTTAAAAATTGTTGTATCACATAAAAATGAAACATGAAGAAACATAAAGAAAGTATTTGTATGTCGTAAGACAAAATATATAATTGTGACACTTTACTTATTTTTTCTCTGCGTTTTCTTTATACGTGTTTTTAAAGCAGCAACAATACAAGAATGCCAATTACTCAATCACCTTACTTTACCAACGTGATTGTAAATACAAATTAAAAGTATTCCACGTAAGATTCGAAAATAAATTTTGGAAAGAAAGAGAGATCCGTTTAAGTTATATATCACGAACGTTTTACGACACATCAAGGCAAACTCCGTTGAATGAACAATTATATTGAGACAATCATCGTCAATGTCTCTAAAGGGAAATAATCTTAAATTATCTTGTTAAGGTAATCGTCACATATGTATCTATGTATCTATCTTAATACACGTATCTATGAACATACATTCTTTTATATTCTTTTAATAACTCTGTTATACAATTGTGCTTAAAAGTTTTTAAGTGGGCCCAAAAATTAATTACTTTTTTTGTTTTTATATTAATTATATTTACGATTTTACAAGCCAGGCTTGTAGTTTTATAATCTAAGCAAAAATATTTTTACATGATATGTTACAAATTTTGTCATTAATTTTAAATATCATTTAAATATTATTATCGATCCGTTTAGAAATTTTTCAGCATTTTAGATAAAAATTGGTCTATTGTTTTTTTTTTCTTCTTTTCCGTTAACAATTTAAATATTGATTCAATCAACAAGTTCCATTATATAAGATAATAGCGTGCAACTTTAATCAGAATAATCTTACAATTAGTTTTAAAAAAGTATTTATGCAAATACCTACGTACAATACATGTCTGTAAACGATCTATAGAAAATACCATTCATATCATGATTTGTACTCTAACGGAAATACATTTGATAAACGTTAAATATATCTTACGATATGTTAATTAATATAACAGAGTTATAACGTTAATAGTTGAAGGACACTTAATACATGGTATTACTTTTACGTAATGAAATTTAATTTCTATCATTGAAAGTAATGAAGAGAAAGAAATATATTTACTTTACAAAATAAGACGAATCTCTCATTTCTTATTTAAAAAAAAAAACGATTAATTTTATATATTATTCCATGTGGTCAACGGGAACTTTTTATTCAGCATTTTTTAATCTTTGTAAATAGAAATTTGTATCTTTTTTTTTCTTTTAAATTTATCAATATTTTAAAAGCACATTTTTCTTTCAAAACACTCGAATTTAATTACCCATTTCTTTCTTCAACAAATTTTGTTAATCATTCAAACATCGATTTGTTTATTCAGTTTCTTTAATAGTCACATAAACGCATATCCCTCTTAAAAAAAAAAGAAAAAGAAAAAAACAAGAAAATAGAGACATCGAAGAATAGAATAGATTTAGCATGACATTATGTTTTTAGATAAATGTCAGAAAGTATGGGTGTTCGGAAGATAAAGAAATGTGTCTGGAGAGAGTATACTAGTAAGAGAATAAAATTAAATATTCTAGAAACCTGTTCACGTGCCACCAACTTTCAGATTTATTCGATAAAACGCAATGGCATGTTAGATTCGTAATTTTGCTTTTAAATAGCACGAAATTATTACAAGGACGTTGAGTTTTTTTAAATATGTACAAATACGTGTAGAATTTTTTAAGGTCATGATAATGACTTGACTTATAATAACATTCCTAAAATCATTGCCAAAGATTGACTAATAGCTTAATTGCAAATTAAGTATACAAGTTTAGATCTTGAACTATGAACAAATATGACGGTCTGTTATGTGTTAATTCAAACTAATTATATCTTATTATATTTCTTTTATTGTTAATTTATTTTCAAGGATACACATAATCGAAGAAATGTGACATTTTTGATAATGGAATGTTTATTGCAAGTTCATCCTTATAGTTGTGGAAAATATTTTTAAATAAATTGGCACACCTTGAAAGCATTGTCATGTTGATGTTGGTGAAAGGTACTGACCAAGATCGAAATAGAAATTTATAAAAGAAATAGGGAGATAACTATCTTGTAATGGATAATACACAAAGTATCAACCGTATCGTGAATCAAAAGTATTTCAACCGAAATTCTGAATTTTTTTAAATCAAGTATACTTTATAAACATTTGATAAACAAAAAATTAGACTAAAAATCTGAAAAGAGATTAAATAATTTTGAAAATTATCTAATTATTTTTCGGCCTACTAAAAACATTTAATATTATTATTATTAGATGGCATTACCAAATCCTGCCAATGTTCCTGTTTCTACGCAAGATCCCTTCGTTCGCGATTTTCGTACCTCATGAAAAATATTTGCAACAGATAAAATTAATTATTGAAATAAATTTATTTCTAATAATGCGCTGGTTAAGAAGATGTTTTACGAAAGAGAAGATGATATTTTTTTTTATGTTTTATATAAAAAAGAAAAATATTTAAAGGCAAGACAGTGACGATAATGAAAAAAAAATATGCATAATTAAAAATATGCGCAATGTACGTGACTATATGTTAAAAATAATGAAAGAACAAGAGGAAGATAATAAATGATCTATACGCATTTTTTCCCTCTCTTCATAGTTTAAACACTTATGAAAAAGTCTTTGAAATATTGTTTCAGTAAAGACACTCTAAACTTATAAATAAATATAGATATATTAGAAAAAATTCAGTATTTGTATAGATGATGAATACCACAAGAATAGTTAAATATTATTCACATGTAACTTGATTAATTATCATATTTATTTTAAACATGAGAAAGAAGGGAATTCATTTTTATTGTAAAAACAATCATTTTCTTTATATTTAGTAAAAAAATTATAAAATTCTTATATTATAATTACAATTAAAAAATCCTCTTCTTTATAATCATTGAGAAAAAAAATATTGGAATTTTTATTATATTAACACATAAAAGGGTTTTTATCATCAAAAGAAGATTCTTCTCTACTTTACAAACAAAAATTCTCGTCCTTACATTTTCTTTTCTTTTTAATCATAAAAACATTCCCTCTTTCATATCGATTATTGATCCTACATCTCTTTATATTTATTTATTTTACTTTTTATCTTCTCCCACCTCAGGAATTCTTAATATTACCACCTTTTTATTTCTCCGTGGATTTTGTCGTCAAGCGAAAGACCAATTCTTAGGGAGTAGTATTCGCCAAGCAATCGTACAAACCGGTCGTGCTCGACGTGACAAGTTAGCCTCAGGCAAGATCTATTGAAAATATAACAATAGGTGATACGTGAAACGTTTTCAACTAGTCTACAAATACATATTACAATTGTTCGCGCGATAACGAACCATTGTTTATAAAAAAAAAAAACAAATCCATTTGAATCTGACTTGATTATCGATTTTTGTTCACTTAAATCGATGAACTCATTTTACTGCTCTCTTCAATAACAATTCCAAAGACAATATTATAATAGGAGGAAAATAAAATTAATACCACAGAACGAATTAGTATTTAAGAATCATAACAATTTTCTCTTAATCATTCTAACATAGTCATTTTAAATTCGAGTCAAGGAAAATCTAAAGATGCGGAAATAAAATACATTTTCTCAGAGATCGTATTCATCCTTTGAATAATTCTTTCTTAATAAATCAATGAAAAAAAAAATTCCTCGAATTAATTATCATGGAAAATCATTTATCAAAACATGACCACGAGCATCATTAAGATTTAATCCTTTCTTGTACTTTCTCATTAAAAAAAAAGGTATCTTTTGGCAAGCTACCAGTAAAGAGAAAGTGGACTTTCTTCAAACTCGTACCAAGAGAAAGCAATTTTCTATAAATTCATCAATTTTATTCATAGAAAGAAAAATCGAAGAATCGAAAATATTGATTAAAATATTTCAACGCACGAATCAAGTCTAAGGATTCATTTGAAATCGTTTGAAAGTAGTTTTGAAACGATTTCATTTAGATAATCGGTATCGAAGGAGAATAAATGAATTTGAAGAAAAAAAATAGGAGAAGAGAAAGTAAGTAATAAGCAAATGCAATCGTCTCTGTTGAATACTGTACGTTAGCTGATCGTATGACCCTGTCCCGTTAGGCAGTGGTGTCCAGTGAAGTTCACGGCCAAAAACACACGGGGTCGCTGAGTTCTGCAGTTGCTGAATCCAAACGATAACGTCCTAAGTTCTATATATAGACTGCATATACCTCTCTTTTCTTCTTCTTCTTCTTCTATCTTTCTTTCTCACTCTATCACTCACTTGGACTATCCTCAGTATACCATCGCAATGTAACGTAGAAATGATATAAGTCACTCGGCCGAGTGGCACCGGTAGTCGCGTGTAGTTAAAACGATCTTAAACGACTTTGGGACGTGACGCGATAAACGAAGAAAACGAGAGACAGAGACAGAAGTATAGAACTGATTGAGATGTTCCGTGGAGGAGATCAAGAAGAAAGATAAATACGTAGTGGCCTGAGTTTCGTTCACATCGAAAGTCAGCTAGCTGGATATCTTCTTATAGTCTTTCAAAAGAAACTCAAAATAACATTTTCTAAGTGGAAAATTAAGGTTTCCTGTTAATATTTATCAGCGTGATTGAAGAAACGAAGATGGACAACCTAAAAGTACCACCTAGTTTGATAAAGAACAACAACAATAATAATAACGAAGGAAGAAGAAGACTTTACTCAATGTCTTGTTTGAACGATCGTCCCAATGGAGAAGATCCTTTGTCCGTGAGATTGGCTTCAACCTACAGGTCAGCAAGATATGGACACGTTACCGATTATTGTCCTGAACAAATCGTGGTAGTCGATGAAGATTTAACAACCAATTCCACGATTAAACACGTCGAGATCGACGCAGGTGAACCACCGCCAGCAGATGAGTCTCTTTTCTTCGATAATTTGGAAGCTTTGAGGAACGTATTACGCGTAGATGGTAGCAATATCAGATCAATCCTTTGGTCCATCTTAGGTATGACCGAGATCAAATTGTTGTTGGAAATGGAAAAGAGTGGTATTGTGCCACCGGAAATTTCATTAACTGAAAATTTGAAAAACCTTGCTTATATTTGGGCATGTCATCGTGCCCTTTCTCATCTATTACCTAAACTCGAAGAATTAGGCGCTGATATTAATTACATCGAGCCGTGTACTGGAATGAACGCTATACTCACTGCTTCCTTGAGTGGTAACGTCTCCTGTTTAGAACATCTTATCGGGAAAGGTGTCGATGTTAATAGTGAAAATCCAACTAATCATTACACCTGTCTACACTTTGCGGCTGCTGGAAAATCAAGAGAAACTACCATTTTACTTTTAGACAACGGTGCCAAATTAAATACATGTGCTTATGGGGAAATAGTCGAACCAGTACTTCACTGTGCCATTCGAACAAGAGCAATAGACGTGGTTAAGGTGCTCCTGGAACGCGGTGCTAGCGTTGTTGAAAAGAACCATCTTGGAGAGACTCCACTTCATGTTGCTTGCTTCGTACAATCGATACCCTGTGTCGAACTTTTACTGACTGTACCAGGTAGTAACATTAATGCTGTTGATCGTACGCACAGGACGCCATTACATTTTGCCGTTATGAGTACAGATTCTTCGGCAGTATTGGTCGAACTTTTATTGAAGCATGGTGCCTTAGTCAATGCGGCCGATCGAACAGGATTCACTCCACTTCATATAGCCGCTTTGAACGAACAGTCTCATTGCGTGGATACTTTGATTTGGGCAGGAGCTGACGTCAGTGCTACCACCAGTGCAGGATTATCAGCTTTGAACATTATACTGAGAAAAATACCTGAGTCTCTTCAAGTTTTTCGAGAAAGACTCGATGCTTCTATCAGACTTAGACGGCCGGTACCACACAACAGAGAGTTTGAAATGAGATTACACTTTGACCTACTCTTTCCGAGCAACAATCAATGCGAAACCAGTTTCATCAATACTTTCGTACAAGAACGTCGCAAGGATCTACTATCTCATCCATTAGTCATGGCTTTTCTTCATCTCAAATGGGAAAAGATAAGAAAGTTTTATTTGATGAGGATCTTTCTTTATGCCATGACGGTTATCTGCATGACTACTTACGTTCTAACAGCACTCGCATACAAATGTTATAATCACGATGATTATCCAAGTTCGAAAATCTGCAACAGTAAAAGAATATCAGGCTTTCTATTCAGAAGACCAGTCATCGAGATCGAGTGGTACCTTTGTCTCGTGTTGACCTGTGTAACAATACCTAGAAAGATATTTGGTTTTATGGTTTATAAATCGGTGAAACAATATTTCTCGAACATAGATAACGTACTCGATGGTATTGTTATAGTAAGCGTTTTTGTAACATCATTCGTTTACACGGGAAAGACATACGATTGGCAAAATTACGTGGGTGCATTCGCAATACTTTGTGCCTGGACAAATCTAATGTTGATGGTCGGACAATTACCTGCTTTTGGAACATACGTTGCCATGTTCACTCATATACAATTTGAATTTGCTAAACTTTTATTAGCTTATTCAGGATTATTAATAGGATTCACCATTAGCTTTTGCGTTATTTTCGTTGGGGAGCCAGCTTTTGGTAATCCTTTTACCGGACTTATCAAAGTCCTAGCAATGATGGCTGGCGAGCTAGACTTTGAGGGTCTTATTAATCAAGCGGATGCCGACGGTCCTTTCGTAATATATCATCCACTGTCAGTCTGTTCTCAAATTCTCTTCACTCTCTTCATCGTTTTCGTAACGGTAATATTAATGAACTTATTAGTCGGCATCGCCGTACATGATATTAATGGTTTGAGAAATCATGCAGGACTTACCAAATTGGTACGTCAAACTAAATTAATTCTTTTTACTGAAATGGTACTGCACAATGCGTCCATACCATACACATTTCGAAAATGGATGACCAATCATAAAATAGACGTGGAAAATCGTAAACACGTTCTCGTTGTAAAACCATTAAATCCTTTGGAAAAACGTTTGCCCAAGGATATATTAAAGGCTGCTTATGAGATCGCACAAAAGAATATGCCATATATCAATGATGACAATATTAGTCTTAGCGACCATGTAACTTGGATGAAGCAACAAAGTGAAGAATCTTCCGAGTCTGGCTTGAGATTGGCTATTGAAAAATTATCAACAAGATTGAATGCTAATGAAGAAACCATAAAGTCACTTAAAACACAATTGTTACATACTAACGATATGTTGGAGGATATTGTTAATCGTCTTGCCAAGAACAAAAGTATATGAGTTAGGCAAAGTGTCCGTGAATATGAACACATAATTACATAAATTATACATATGTATGTATGTATGTATCTATGGATTATTGTCATATCTATTTGCCTCTTTTATTAATAGACAAATTAAACAAAAACTCACTTAATGTATTATAAAGACTGATATATAGGGAACCGATTCTCAAGATGATTGAGAATATATTTGAAGAATATATATATATATATATATATATATTAATGAAAATTTGATTTTTCATTTCTCTTTCGTCAGAAAATTTTTTTGGATAATCTATAACGATGACGTTGTTTTGTGAACAAATGTTTTAACAATAAGGTATAAATATAGTAGCTACATATATTTTTTGTTAAGATTTAATTTTCATTAGTCTAGCATATACCTCACTTTATTCAAATTTAGATATATACAATAGATGTGGTAAATAACATGTAACAATTTGCAGGTAATATTTCCATTAATTTTTACGAATATGATTGAGAAAGTTGACATCGAAGCCGTTGTAGAAGGTGGAGGGAATACTGGACAATCGGGTGCAATAAGGTGGGGCATTGCGTGGGGTCTCCGAAGTTTCGTTACTCCTGAGGTTGTACAAAATATGAAAATTGGTAAGATATTAAATTATGGAGAATTATAATTAAATAATTATATTTCATTTAATTTGTATTATAATATTAACAAATTTGTAACTTTTTAGCTGGATTGTTGACGAGAGATTGGAGGATACGTGAAAGAAAGAAATTTGGCCAAGAAGGAGCAAGAAGGAAATTTACGTGGAAGAAACGTTAATTTTCGAAATATCTTTTTTTTTAATTATAAAAATCATATAATTATATCTCGTATGGAATAATAGATTTAAAAAGAAAATTCTTTATCTTTAAATTAATGTTGTACCAAATAATATATATTATTTGAATATTAATGTACATCGGATGCAACAGTTGGTATATGTTCATCAAATGAGAACATGTATAAATATTAGATAAAAAAGAACTTCTAATCTCTTTTCACAGTATTTAATACATTTGATATCTTGCGATAAGCTTCATTTTACATTTTGCTTAGAGGTGTTAAACCAAGTAACTTCATCCCTTGTGCAAGGACGTTTTTTGCTACATGGAAAAGAAGTAGTCTTTGATTGCTAATATCTACGGTTTCGCCTTTAACTTGCAATGTCTCGAAAGCTTTGTTGATAGTATAGCTGCATAAAATAAATATTTTTAAGTACATACTTATTAAAAAGCATTTATCATTATTACTTCGTATATGACTAACCTCAGTTTAAAAAGATAACCGACTAAAATGCATGGTTCTAAATCCTGATAAGATCTTAATACTGTATTTTCAAAGTTACTAATAATACATATCAAGTCATCCACTATTGGTTCTTTCAAAACTGACGGGTAACATTCAGTTGGAAGAGTAACACCAGAGTTTTCTTCTAAATTACAAAGTCGACAATGGACATACTGCAATTTTATGCCAGTATCTCCTTTTATCTGATATTAAAAGAAAAATAGATTCTTATAAATTATTACAGTACTACTCATTTTTAAAAAAGTAAGAATTATTATAAAAAATCTCACATTAAATGCTGTATTCCAATTGAATGTATAATCTCGTTGTCTCTTTTGTTTTAGATCATTAATTATTACAGCAGAAATTCCTAATATATCTGAACTGTTATCGGACGAATCCAAAGAAACTTTAGTTGCTAAAATAGATGACGTTTTATAATTTCATTTAAATAATGAAATTTTCGCACAAAATAACAGGCAATGTAAAAATCACTTACTGGGAGATTGAATTTGCTTTTCTCTCGCAACATCCTTGATTTCATTTAAAATATCTTTTAAAAATATAGCTGTACCTTTTCTAGTACTCATACCTATTACTCGTCCATATCTTATATGTTTTAATCTCTCCGCCCAAGGCATATTCATTTTATGTAATATTTCTATTAGATTTGTAAAATGTTTACTTTGTGTTTGATCAACGACATAATACATCACATCAAATTTATATTTTTTATACCTGTCGATAGCTGCTCCCACATCTCTCGTTAAATACAATGACGTTCCATCACTTTTAATAATAGGTATAACTTTATCTATTTCTAATTGTATTACTTTTCTATTTTCTCTATCGTATTTCAACAAATTCATATTTTCCATTAACTCTATTATTTGTTTTAGATTAGTTTTTTTATACATAGATTCCCAATGATATTCATCAAAAGTAATACCTATTCTACCGTAAGTTTTTTTTAAATCCTCAATTGTATATTTTCTAAATAATTCCCATTCTTCGTATGCAGTACTTTCTCCAATTTCTAACTGTCTAAAGATTTCTCTAGCTTTATTAGCAATACTAATATCATTTTCAGCCGATTTATTGGCAAGTACATAAGCATTGTACAAACTTCTGATGGCGTCATCTTGTATGTTCTTGCTATCAAAATTAGACATTTCTATACCAACCTGAGTAAAGCCATATTGAGTACCCCAATCACCTAAATAATTTATTCTCTTCACATTATTACCCAAATAACTATTTATATTGGCAACATAGTTTCCTATAATGGTTGAACGTAGATGTCCTAAATGAAATGGTTTTGCAATATTTGGTGAACTAAATTCAACTATTACATTTTTACTGCCATCGATAAGTAACGAAGAAGCAGCTTTATGGTAATTGCTTTCGAGAAGCTGCTTAATGTAATCTTCTCGTAATACATTAAAAGATAATATATCCTTTTCAACAGTAATATTGTTTAAATATGATTTTCTGACAGAATTTAATAAAGTTTCAATGTTGTTTCTGAAATTATATTGTTTTGTTTGCAAAGGAAGTATAAAAGAAAATACTCCTGGTTGTCTTTGTTTCATGTGTAAACAAGAAATTATATTCATTGCATCTTCTGTATTTTTTATTAATTTTGTAATCTAAAAATTAATATAATATTAATTTTTTTAAAAAAGAGCGCTGATCACATACACACACACACACACCCATAACATTTGAATATTTGTAACATTTAAATAAAAATCTTATATACCTTTTTATATAATACGCGTCTTATATTAATAGTCATTATAATACGATGTTTAATTAATGTTAAATTATATATATATATATATAATAATAATAAAACTTTTATTTATATAAATATAAATCTTATAATTTAGGTTAGGATTTAATAAAATATATTTAGTTACAGTACATGATTTGCTTATAGTAGATGGTGCCAACGTCGCTAACGGGAACCAATTTGATGAAAGTATTTTTAAGTTTTTTAAAGCCAACCAATCAAAATTAAGAGTATAAATACGCGGGAATACTAATGCTTATGAAATTTCGATATTGGTAGTGTTGCATCGTTACCGTTTGTTTATGTTTTAGAAGTCTTCCACTTTTGTCGATACATCATGTTCTTGTTGTATGTACGCGTTATTTTAATAAGAACGAATTCATTTGTATTTTATATTTGAATATAATACTTCATTTATACAAAATAAAACTTTATTTGTTAGATATAGATATATTATACCTTTTTTTGTTTTGTGAAGTATATAATGTGCATCATATATTATTATAATTAAAAAATCAATTTGGTTTGTAAAACAGAAACATGATTTTATGATATGGCTGAGTTGCATATTATTGGTCAAATATCTTTAGCCAAAAATTTCAAAGAATCTCAACTATTTTGTAAATGGAGTTGTCATGCTGGTAAAGAATAATCATTTACGTATGATTTTCTTTCTCTTCATATAATAATTTTTTGTAACGCTAAAAAATATTTTTATTATAATTATTTTTACAATATAATAGGAAATGGTTGGAAAGTCATAGAAGGAAGTGAAGAAGGACAAACCCAAGAAAGTTGTGATATATATACTAACGAACCAATTTGGGATCATCCTATTGATATACATTACACTACGCAAACATTACAGAATTCTCCGAAACTGCTTCTACAAATATTTTCTAGAGATAATTATGGGAGGGTATTATTCAATTCCTATGGTGTTTGTAATATACCATTATCTCCTGGATCTCATTGTTTAAGTTGCCATACATGGAAACCGATTGGTCAGTATATTTTCTTAAAAAGTATGACCTAACATATAATATAATTATTTTTGGATTATTTATATTTTCTTTTTTAATTACAGGTGATTGGAAAGATAGACTTAGAGACAAATTTTTAGGAGTGGTTTTACAATTAAAATCTCCAAGTGTTTTAGTTAATACTGTGGATAGATTTGAATTACTTACAGAAAGTATGGGCACTATTCAAATCGAACTGCACATACTTGCTAGGAATTTTGACAAATTTGGATGTCATTTATGAAGACATTAAATATTCCAGAAAGAGACTGCTATACGATCTCATTAAATATATAAGAACTCTTATATTGCATTAAAAATGCTAAGAATATTTTTATTACTATACTTCATTTTTTTATCCAACAACTTAATTTCTCTGGAGAAAATCGAGGATATAATAACATGTTTGAAGGGAACAGACTGCGACGAATTTACAGATACCGATAATTATACAGAAACATATGATGAAAATGGTCTTACGTCAAATAATTTTTCAAATGTCACTGTTAATATTACTGAATCAACTTTAAGTATTAATTTAATTAATATAACACAAACTCCACAATATGAGACAACGACTACTGCAGCTTCGATTATTATCCATAAATTCGACTCGGAAATAAATAATCATAGTATATACAAAAAACAGTCTGATATATGCGAATGCGATTTAACTGTAATTATAATTTATTTCTTATATTTTTTTTGTATTTATAGTATTATGTTGAATTATGAATTAGATTTTTATTTTATTTATATAAATAGGTGGCATCGTGTGACATCAATTGCTGCTGTGATATGGATTGCAAAGATCATCATTTAAAAGTATTCACTCACTGTAAAGATTATCATACAGAATTATATGATAGTCGTTACTGTTACAGTCGAAATTTTATTGAGAGAAATAACACTCCTTTTATTCTCGAAAAGTTAGCTAATAATTTATTCTGCATTCTTTACGACAACCTTCCACCTGTGTACAGCGTTAGTAATAACTTAGTAAGTCTATTATTTTATTTCATAACAACTATTTTATTATATGTGAATCAGCATTTAATTAATTTTTTTCTTGTAGGTTATTAATAATCAAAAAGATTTATGGTCAGAGATAAACAAAGATATGCTAAAATGGCAATTCGAACATCATCAAAGTATGTTTATGTATAACGTCACTAGTATTTATAAAGAAGGTGATTTTGTATGGAAATTACAAAATAATTATATAAAACCTTTAGGTAATATTATAAATAATTAAAATATGTTAAAATAGAGATATGTTGATGTTATGATTAGATTTATCTTTTTTGTATATAATTTTAGAGTTACTACAAACAGGTTTTACGGGAAAATGTTCTTTTAAAAAGATGATTAAATATCTTAATAAGTGGAAAGATTCTTGTATGCAAATTGAACTAACTGATGCAAACCAGTTCTTATTTCCGTCAACGTATAATAACTTTACGATTATTAAGTCGTTGCATTTGTTTAATCAGACTTACATTCTTCCATCGGATCAAGTAAGCACTTATAAATAATAAAATACAATTTATATAAATTGAGTTCATAATAAAGTTGTACATCAATTGTATTTTTAACTTTTAGAGCTGTCCAAAGAACATATGTTTATCTCCGATCAGTCATTATTGTCGAAATTCTTGGAATAATTGTAATAACACAGAAATATTGGGTTCTTGCTCAAAGGGAATGTGTTATAATATTATTAAAGGAGTTAAATATTTAATAAGCCATAATGGTACTTTTGGTATAGATAACATTACAATATATTTTCTAATAAGTAACGTATCTCAACAATTCTATCAATCATTTGAGGTAAGTTACGAATGGAACGATCAGGATAAAAAAATAATATTTGATCGTAGTGGTAATCCTGGCTACATTCGTGGAAAACCTTTAATCATAGGAACCATTAAGACAAATAAGACTAATAATATAGAACTTCGTTACATCAGTTTTAATAAAACTAAAAGTTTTTTAACTTTGCCATTAGGACAGAAAAACCGTGAATGTAGTCAAACCAATAGATATACTGTAGCTTTTGGAGAAAATATTAAAGTTAAATGTTCTCTCACATTGAATAAGACTATTTTTACAACTACGTCTTGTATAGAATTACATAACAAAAGTTTACATTTATTAATGGAAGATACTTTGCTTAATATAACACAAGCTGATCAATATGCCGTACATATCTCTAGATTAGGTAATTTTACTAACAACAATACTTCTGAATGGATAAAAATTGTACTCGATAGAGTACCTCAGCATGTAATAACTGGTCAAATTCTCAATGGCTGGATTCGGTGTTCAGGATTAATAACATCTATCAAATATGATATATTATATTCTGTATCATCTAAATCAGAAAGTTTAACAAACTATGAAATATTAGGTGTAGGCGTTACATTCTCTGAAGAGACAGATTTATCTTGGCCAAAATGCATTACGAAAAATTGCACAAATGTGCTTCAAATCGATATTACAAGTTTTGTCACATTTCATGATATATCCAAACCATCCCGATATTATTTCGCAGGTGGTCCAAATTTAGACTTGACATTGCCGTATGATTTTTTTTATCCTTTTCTAAGCAATGGTGATATAAGAATAAAATCGTCCATAATTTTAATATATATCTTAAGTATAATTATTTCTTACTATAATTAATATCATATAAAAATAAATGCAATGTAATTATCATATTCCTTATTATTTATCTACACTTACGCATTGTATACGCAATTAGACTTAGTTTAGATATAGCTTCTATATGCATCAAAGAATTGTAATAACACTATCATAAAATGATGTATAAAAATATTTTGATATACCATTAAACCAATGTTTTGCATAGCAGTATTTATTGTCATAATAATTCTTTTAAATTGTTCCTAATGTATCATATATTACTTTGAGAAAATGCCTTATTCAATTTATTACAAAATATAAAATTTCACGAATGGAGTATGTTACGATTCATCCAATAAAAAACAAGTATTCTCTTTGCGCTTCATTATAATTGGATAAACTGTTATACGAAAATTTTCGAAGATAGCGCCATTTGGTGTAATAGTGCTTTATAATAAGCAGTGAAAATATAGGGAGAAAAAGAAGGAGCAATAAGGGAAGAAATAAAGAGAGAGAGAGAGAAAGATAATAAGAGTAACAACGGTAGGCGAACAAGCAGTTGCATTGTCATGGACCAATCAGAGAATCCGATCGATCCCACCTACCAATCTGAGGGCGGCCATTCCCTTCTCTTTACCGTCAGTACGAACTCGGCAGCCTCGCGATGCACTGTGGGAGATTGGGTTGTGCTTCGGGTGGATACAAGATGGCTGACACTTGTTAGCCAGCAGTGTATTTTTGTTCGATTCGATGTGCATTTAGAGTTAAAAAAAAAAAAAAGAAAATATAAGTAAGTGCCTTCGTAGAAAAGCGTACGTATCTAGATGCATACGCATTTGAGAATACAGAGAGATAATAAATACGAAGCACGTAAAATCGTAAAAAACTTTTCAAGACGTAGTAGTATCCTTAAACGCCCATAAAAATAATAATATATCATGCGTCGTCGTAGTTTGATCTTCTTCTTAGCACGATGTGCCGTGAAAGTGCGACGAGAGGTAAAAGAATAATAATAATTAATAATCGTCAAGAAGTAACAACAACGAATAATAAAGTGCCAAGGTGAAGTGTGATATTAACCGTGACTCGCGCGGATTCAACCGAAGATTCTTCTACAGCAAGAAGAGAGAATTCGTCGTTGGTATTTCTTCATTCGAGGGCTGCCTCTGCGTTGGTGCCAGCAAACAAACGGATTATGTATGCATTTATCCATTCGTTTTTAAAATCAAATCTTTTAATGTTTCTGACGTTAAATACTTTTTCTTGCCAATGGTATCGCGTTATAAAGCGTCTGGGACGACTATACCGTTTAAAAGTATACACTCTTTCTCTCTCTTTCTCTCCCTCTCCCCCCCTCTCCCCCTCCCCCTCTCTCTCTGTCTGTTTGTCTTTTACTAGAGGCTTAATAAACTCTTCCGATTTCATGATATATCCTACTACACGAGAGAACAGACAAACGTATTTCGTAAATGCATCGACAAGTAACAGAATATAACTTCGATTGCGTCCTCCACAGTATCGTTCAAACAGTGGCTCACAATGGTCGTCGACGTGGATAAATTTAAAAATGTACTGTGTACTTCCCCCCCTCTCAAAATATTATTGTAATATATATGTCCATCCGTTGCCTTAATCTGAAAAGAATATTATGCGTATCAGATTATTTCGTTCATAATTTATTTAACGTTTATTTTTCGATTTAAGGGAAGTAGTTCAATTTCAAATTAATCAATATTAATACAATCAAAACGTGACACATGTTTAAATAGTATTTTTTTTTATTATTGTCCTAGATACTTAAAATTATAATGCCATATTTCATTAGTTTTCAAAAGAGTTAACCGCTTATTCTAGAATTGAAAAAAATTAATGTTTTTTATTTCATGGTTTTGTTTTTATGCTACTAGGTTGTTTAGGTTTCATGAAAATTAGTTATTAGAAGAAGGTTATGATAGCTATTTTATATAATTATAAAAATTGTTAAAATTTTATTTGGTCATCTTTTTTTATGTGAATTTATTTATTTATTGGTTTGTTCGCGTTTGTTATAGATAGTTAAGAAATATCGCAATTCGTGGATATACGTCTTATATAAAGTTAGATCAAAGCCATAATAAACGTGAAATCTGTTCATTGTGTGCACTCCAGTTTGAAATACACAGAGAGGGATATTTAGCTTCGGTGGACATCGTTCTCGTCGTCTAAAATAGAAAACGGCTTGAAGTTTTCTGCTCGATTACATTTTGCCTTACTACATGTCTTACTATCGCAATTTACTTTTTGATTTATCCAATAAATATATTATTACTAACAATAAGATTTAAAGATTAGGAGTATCGATTGTTTCTCGAAGTATAATTCAGTTAATTAATATATTTCTTGAATAATACGATAATTAGTATAATTGAAAATCCATGTATCACATAAGAATTATATATTTATATAATTTATTTTTTTCAAATACATCAAATATTATTTGAAATTTATTGTACAGGGTGTGGCAAAAGTTCCTAAGTTTTCAGTTTTATTATTAAAGCTGAAATTAACCTAAAAGTTTGTATTTAATTTGTATATATCATCCAGGAACTTTTCTCACTTAATTTATTTTAATTTTAGATGAATAAAATTTCATATAAAAATATCTGTCAAGAATATAAAATAATGATTACTTTATTATTTTTTCATTATATTATCTACATATAATAATAATAATAATAATATATTTAGCTTTGTATACGTTGGAACAGTAGAACTAGCTATTCGATGGGTCAAATTACTACCATTTCCAAGAAAGTATTTATGGTCAGGTCTATTATATTGTCCTTTTTTCTTTTTTTTTTGTAGGGTCCTTTGGTCATTGATCTTTATCTCATAAAGATAGTCGTAGAAGTAAATTGTAGAGGTAAATTGTAGAGGTAA